CCGGGTGCGCGTCGCGGCGGGCAGGCTGGGAACACGAAGCTGCCGTCCCCCCCGGCAGGAACCGCTCCCTGTCGCTGCAGCCAGACGCACGCTGTCCTTGCACGATTAAGAGCTACGTGTGATTTTTTTTTTTCCTGTATTTATTGCCGGGTTGTGCCTGGATGCCGTGCTGGTGACCCAGTCCTGGGCGTCTCCAGGCCTGCTTCCAGCCCTCCCTGACGCAGACCAACTCCAGCATTTCGAACCCCCTGCGCAGGGCGTGCGCAGCGTTACTGGCTGGGAATCCTGCGCCAGCATCAGGCTCGCAGCACTCCAGGGGACGAACAAAGCAGACGTCCGTGGGACATCACACTCCACGCTCACGAGCCGTACGAACCCCACAGACACCCCACCGAGCCCTGCGGCTGCACGAACCCACCCCCCCGACCTCGAGCCCCCCTCCTGACAGCGCTCTGCCTGCAGACAGCCCCGACAGCTCACCTGCGCGGGCGTCACGCCGCGGGGCGCGGGTTTGGAGGGACTTCCCGAGTCATCGACTCCGCTTTCACAAGCAAAACGGAGCTCCTTATGGGCAAGTATTTCATATTTAATCAATACTTTTCCAATTTATGATCCATGACTGGGTGAAGATGCTCTTTCACACAACAGATCCCCTTTAATACCAGCTGTTTGTGGCTTGATCGAACCTTGAAGAACTTCTGCTTAGCAGCATTTTCACAAACGTTCTCACATATAAAGCAAGTATCTAGGGTACAGTTTGCAAAACAACCATGCACTTCAGACACCCCTGGCCACTGGGCCTGTCTGCTCGGCAGCCGTACGCCTCGGCGGTCACCAGATACCCCTCAGGGTCCAAGGGCACTGGTGCAGGATGCACCTCTAAGATCATGAGATGAATCACCTTAAAAGTGCCTGTCTCCCTCTGGCCACTACAGAGGGTTACAGAATCACAGAATCACACAGAATAGTAGGGGTTGGAAGGGACCTCTGTGGGTCATCTAGTCCAAACCTCCT